CTGTGATGGGATCTGTAGTTTGGCTATCCCTGCTCTATAGTATTCTCCCTCACTCCTTCCCCAGCTTCTGCATGAAAGTTTAAGTAGGTTCTGGTTATACAATGTCCTTCAGATCTACCAACAACTATGTAGTGCAATGGCCCGTCTGATTGGATAGAATAGGAAGATCCTCATAATAGCTAGTTCTGAAAAATCCCAAACTGATTGTACAAGGATTGTGTGGTCGGGTTGGGGCGTACAAGGCGCGCGGGGACTGTCGGGTTGGGGTGTGCGGTTGGGGCGTGTGCGGCGTATGAGGATTGTGCAGTCAGATTGTAGGGTGTATGGTGACCCTTAGAAGACTGTATTTGCATGCAGGTCATCCTGGGTAACACCCACAAGTGATGCTGAGCCTCCACAATGCAAAATAAGTGAAATCCGATGAATGAAAGGGAGGGGCCAGGGACAGTCAGGCCGTGGAGGAAAGAGCTAGATCAGGGGAAGGCATCCTCGGGCACTCCAGCTGTGCTCAAGCTACAAATCTTGCAATGCTTCATGGGACTTGTAGTTCCACAACATCTGGAGTGTAGAAGTTCCTTACCCCTGCACTAGATGATGCTGGACGTCCGCCAGCCAGGAAATGAAACGGGCTCTCTCGGACTTGCTGCAGCTTGTAATGCACATTGTGAGGCGTTCACAGTGTACAGTGAGTGTGCAGTGAAATCGGGGTGAGCAATCTCAGTCATGGAGAAGAGCCGGTACAGCTGAGTGAGACTGAAGGGGATGCCGGAACTCAGCTTTAAGATGGTGACTGGGAGTCTTATAATGACAAGTGGCGTCTTCTTCAGAGGAAAACGTGAAATAAAATGTGGTTGTCTCGGGTCCCCAACCGTCACCTTTCCCATATATACTGCATCTAGGTTTCCCTTTACATAGGTAATATGTCAGGTGCCTTCATGTCCTTCCTCACACTCGCATGCAGCCCAAGCTGTCCAGCAGAACATACAGCAGCAGCTTACTGTACACGTGACTATAATAAACATGACAAATAACGAACGTTACGAGAACACGACCATTATCTGCAGTGCTGGCTCTCTATGTACACACAACACTCACCTGTCCTGTCATTGCTGCTAGTTTGTTGTCACCTCTGTGAGGAAGAGCTCGGCGCCCGGACATGTCTGCAGCTCTGTTCTTCTCCTTACACAACACTCTCCGCCTTACACAACACCGCGCACAGTTGACACTCCGCGCTTCCCGCCAACACAGTTGTGTAACCAGAAAGGGGAGGGCGTATGTGACGTCACGGCCCGAGCTGTCAGTCACGGTACTATACACACTCTGTGAGGTGCTGGGGACCTTGCAGCTATTGTCTCCTGAACACAGCTGTGGGCAGCCAGCACCACAGGGTCGGACAGGCTCATCCACAGCCTCAAGTATGCAGTGACTCGATGTTAGGTGACATAAAGAGAGGAATTGCTCAAAAGTGGGGCAGTTGTCCACAGCAACCGATCAGCATTTTTAATAAACAAGTTGAAGATGGGTTACCATAGGCATCTGCTCAATATTCAGTCTGCCCCAAAGTGTTTTGTAAAGGGGCTGCATGTATAGGTAGGTGGTAGACAACATAAGCACTCCAGCTGTTGTGGAACTACAAATCTCATGAGGCATTGCAAGACTCTGAAAACCACAGGCATGACTCCCAGAGGCAGAGCATATATGGGATGTGTAGTTTCGCAACATCTGGCGCGCCGACGTTGCCTATCCTAGGTTTAGACTAACTTCCCACTAGTGCTGCTGCAAAATTATTTGATATAGCGCTAACACTTTGTGCAGCGCTTTACAAAATGGAGGGAGACAGACAGTAGTTACAATACAATTTCCATACAGGAGGGCCCTGCTCATGAGAGCTTACCATCTAGTAGAATTGTGCATTTTATAGTGCATTAGTTACGTGTATTTGATGCATCTTCATTTTTAGTTTTTCTTCTCTTTGCCAATGACAAGCGATTTCTGCTGTGACATCATTAGGCTCCTTTAAGGAGACTTTAAAGGAGAACTATGGGGTTGGTGTTTTACCCCCATAGTTCTCCTAAGGGTCACGCCAGGACATAAACTAGCGTCCTCCCGTGACCCAAAGCTCAGTATATCGCGAGCTACTCACGGTATACTGAGACCGCCGCAGCCGGGACGGATCCAGACATTACTGTTAAGATCCTCCCAGCTGTGTGAGTGACAGCTGGCTCTGCCTATCTAGAGGTAGAGCCAGCTGTACCCGCCCCTCCCCTTCCGCCAGTCAGCGCTGGAGGTTCGGAGCGGGGAGAATCCCTGCAGGGAGCCGTGAGTGACAGTCATGGCTCTCTGCAGGGAGATGAACGAGAAGTGAGCGAGCGACGGTATGTATTCGCTCACTTCCCGATCTATTGAGCCAACGTGTGACAGTCTCATTGTCTCACGTCGGCTCGAACTATGAGGTTGAGTGAAAATCACTCACCTCATACATCTCCTTTTAAGAATGTGTTCTCATTGTAGTCTATGGGGGCAAAAACACACAAAAGAAGCACCTGCACCTTTTCAAAAATCGCACTGCACATGTTGCATTGATGTGAATGGGCTTCATTAAGTCTCTGTTCACATCTATACAATGTGGGAGTGCTTGTGATGCAGTCTGTGCCCAGGGAGTACTGCCACCGGCACACATTAATGGCAGTATGTGGCTGCCCGCTGGTAAACCATGACATGATCGTATACATGGGTACAAAACGGTCTGTGTCCAGGGACCTTCATTCACACTTGCACCCATGTATATGCTCAGATAAGCATTTACTAGTGTACAGCTGTATCCAGTCATTGGTTAGTATAGGCGGCTTTATGGAACACCTGTAAATCCTATGTGATAAAATACAGGAGGGTGTATGGTCCTGCCGTGCTCGAGTGCATGAGCCCTATAGCTCATTAATAAGCCTATATCAATCTATAGAAATGAGTGCATGTTATTCTATAAGTGATCTTTTGTTTTATGTGTCATAATAACTAGAGGTGCACCGAAATGGAAATTTCTAAACTGAAACGATACCAAAATAAAAAAAAAAAATGTCAGGCCGAAACTGATTTAATTTTTTTTCAAATATTTAATTTTTATAAACTTTTTAATGTTTTTATATTTATTTTTTACTTTACTTGGGCCTAAACAGACCCCTGATATTTCCCTTTTACAATAGAAAAAGAGATAGAGAACTGTGTGTCCTCAATCTCTTTTTCTGCAGCCCGTGTTATCAATCAACAGGAATCCTCTATACTGAGTGTTCCTGTTCATAACTTGCAGGGATAGTATGTTTGCCATGTCCCCAATCATGAATGAACAGGAAGTCATGTAGATCACTTCCCATTCATTCATAATTGAGGATAGAGTAACCATACCATGTCCTCAATTATGCACACTCAGCAACCACTGATCGATGAGTGTTTTGCATTGGCTCTTTTCTGACAGCTGTCACAGGAGGCTGAGCGAGCGGAGCATGGAGGAGAGCCCAGCCTCCTGTGACAGCGCTGACTGTCTCCGCCCACACGCCGCTCTGCGGGACTGTGACAGGAGGCTGAGAGGTGTAGGAGGAGAGACGCCTGCCGCTCACAGCACTCTCCTCCCACAGCGCTCGGCCGGCTGTCACACTTTCTCTCCTCCCCGCTGGGACAAAGAGCAGCGCCAAGCGGGGAGGAGAGAAAGCAGGGATGTGCCGCTGTATCGGCAGAAAAATTGCACTTTCGTCCGATATATTGATACATCCCTAAAAATAACATATTTATATATTGTAGATTTCTCTCTTCCAAGTTCTTCTGAAGAAGCGGACCCTTGGTTTATAACACACATTGACGATTCATTGTAGTCTCATCAATGATTTAGAGAATTTTCTGCAGTATTGATTATATCCGGGGCAGGGAATTTTGGCACTCCAGTTGTGGTGAAACTACAAGTCCTGTGATGCATTACTAGACTCAGGAGGCACGATGATAGGATTGTTAGTTTCACTACACCCATATACCCTAACCAGTAACAAAAATGTATCTTATTTGTGTATCACTTGGCTGTAGATCCTCAAATCATCTCTGAATTGGTGCTGACACTGTCCTTCCTTCTGGAGGGTGGCTACTTTTCTTCCCCATGGTCCCTGTGTGTGTTGTAAAGTAGTCACCGCTCCAAGCTTGCTCCCGGGATGGACTACAATATCAATACAAATTAGTAATCTTAACGTGAGATTGTAGTCCATCACAATCTCACGGATCCATAACAGCACAATATGCATGTTACCTTTATATGGTGCATGACACAATAGAATACACATTTATACAGCATTAAGACTACTACACAGTACAGTGAATACACCATCGCCACGCCGCTAATGTGTACAAGGAGGCTGCATGATTCATACACATACATCCCCAAACATGGGTGGAAGCTTTACCCAATACAGCTTTCCGTATCAGTATTACTGCACACCATGTCTACCTTTTATGGTTCATTCTTAAAATGTAGGCCGCGGTGTCCCACAGAGTTCTCTCTGCAGAACATTGTTTTATATACAGGGCCCTATGTGTCCCAAAAAATAGGTTGTTTTCCGAATTTAAATTGTGTTAAAGCATTTTGTTGAGTTTTGTCCCTCAACCAAAAGTATCTAGACTGCACTTTGCTTCTTGAAGTACCTTATCAAATAATCCCATAATAATACACAACTAAAATGTTTAATAAGAATACTTCAGAGAAATATTTATTTACTTGGAAGTTTAGGGTCCATAAAAATATATAACATTTATTACAAAAACATATAAAACACTGACGAGTTTAAAGGAATGTGAATGAGGGTTTCAGAAAGCGGCGGTTGTTCTGAGGCATGGGCGGAGCCATGAACCCAGGTCTTTTCACCGCCGATGGCCTTGATACACTGCTGCAATCATTACTATACTCTGAAAATGTTTTACTGGTTGCATTGCTTCTGGAAGATTTTGAATTGTTGCCACTGGTAAGGGGGGGAAAAAAAATGGAGAAATCAATTTGTAACATAAATCAGAAGCGACACATTGCTATACAGATAAGGTAGCTTACCCTTTGGCACGGTTCTGCTGACCTTCTCCACCAGTTTTCCGTTTCTTGGATTTACGGAAGTAGGGAGCAGTCTTACGCTTTGTACCATTCTTCTCTTTGTTTCCTCTAAAATAAGAGGATGTAGAAGTGCCATCTTCCTCATCACTGTCATAGTTCCCTGTATTATGGCTGGCCTTTGCACTGGACTTCTGGGCAGTATCATCAGCTGTGATGGGAATTGTGAACATGAAGAAATCAATAACCACTTGTAAAACAATATTTTCTTACAGCATCTGTGCATTGATTAGAATACACATCCTACCTGGCAGAGTCCATTCTGAATATTTCTGGAGAACATCTATTAGCTCTGCTCCATATTTCTCCAATTTATCTTCTGTGACTCCATCAATCTGGAGTAAAACGTCCGGTTCTGCAGACAGAGACTCTGAAATAAAACAAGTCATAAATCAATGGTATGGGGTGACCAAGTACAACACTGTTTTGTACAACAAAGCAAAAAGGTACAGCGCTCATAACCTTTCCGTGAGAGACACTCAAAGTGCTTTAGAAATGTAAAAATAAATATAAATAACTGCACAAAATAGCAATGATTATGTGAATAATGATTATAAATATATGAATCTAAATAAATATAAAAACATCCAGAAAATAGTCGAATAAAAAAAGTGACAAATTGATATAAAGTGAAAAAATAAATCTATACGTTTCTTATTCAGTGCAAATCCAGAAAAAAGTCCAAATAAAAGTGACAAATTGTTTCAAAGTGAAAATAAAGTGAAAAATAAGTTTCTTTCCAAGTTTTATAAAGTGCAAATCCAGCAACTTCAAGTAAAAAATCCGTGCTCCTTAACGTGTCCCGCAGGAAAGATAATGGGTGTGCACTCACTGCAAAGAACGACTGTATATAAACAGCAGCACACGTTTTGATTAAACGGAGTAGTTTTCAGCGTCCTCCGTCCCTTGAACCCGTTTTATTCTGATATTCATCTCCAATAAATAGCCTGGCAAGGACGTCCAGCCTGCCAATTTATATTTACATTTCTAAAGCACTTTGAGTGTCTCTCACGGAAAGGATATGAGCGCTGTACCTTTTTGCTTTGTTGATTATTAAGGTCCAACAACCTTAGTGTAGCAGCTCCTAACTAGTCCGTTTTTTCCAGTCATCTATTTTTTTTACTACAACACTGTTTTGTGCCTGTTTAAAATGGCGAATTGCTAAAGAGATTTAGGAGTTCAGAACATCATAAAGCAATGCTCCGGGGGTCTATCAGCATGCTTTCTATAAGCTTCATGCACTGACTAGTCTGTTTTGGCCAAAAAAAAAAGTGACACACTATATTTAATTGGACCTCCTTTACCTTTGATTACGGCACGCATTTGCCGTGGCATCGTTTCAATAAGCTTATGCAATGTCACGAAATCTATTTCTGTCCAGAGTTGCATTCAATTTTCACCAAGATCTTGTAGTGATGATAGGAGAGTCAGACCTCTGCGTAAAATCTTCTCCAGCACATCCCAATGGGGTTAAAGGAGAACTATGGGGTCAGTGTTTTTCCCCATAGTTCTCCTTAGGGTAACGGGCGGACACAAACTAGCGTCCTCCCGTTACCCTAAGCTCAGTATACCGTGAGCTACAGCTCGCGGTATACTGAGACGCCGCAGCGGATCCCGACATGGACGTCGGGATCCGCCCCAGCTGCGTGAGTGACAGCGGGCTCTGCCTATCTAGAGGCAGAGCCAGCTGTCACTCACGCAGCTGGGGCGGATCCCGACGTCCATGTCGGGATCCGCTGCGGCGTCTCAGTATACCGCGAGCTGTAGCTCACGGTATACTGAGCTTAGGGTAACGGGAGGACACAAACTAGCGTCCTCCCGTTACCCTAAGGAGAACTATGGGGTCAGTGTTTTTCCCCATAGTTCTCCTTTAAGGTCTGGACTCTGTGGTGGCCAATCCATGTGTGAAAATGATGTCTCGTGCTGCCTAAAAAACTCGTTCACAATTTGAGCCCGATAAATCTTGGCATGGTCATCCATGCCTGTGCCATCAGGGAAGAAAAAATCCATGATGGAAAAACCTGGTCATTCAGTATATTCAGGTAGGCAGCCAACCTCATTTTTTGGGGACATAATGTTGCTGAACCTAGACCTGACCAACTGAAGCAACCCCAAATCACAACACTGCCAAAATCCAGGTGGTGACTTTTTGTTTTGGCCAGGCAGTGTATTCTTACTTATATTTAGATATAATTCCGCAAAGATCAACAGCAATCATCAGTATAACCATAGTTAATTGCTGTTGACCAATTGCAGGATGTACGGTAGGCTGCAGTTAGAGTAAGTTATAATGTAATGATGTAACTCCTGCACATCTGCACAGTGTACTAAACTGGGCATGCGTGGCTCAGTTCACAAAAAAAAGGTAGGAGATTTTGGGCAAAAGAGACTTACACAATCTTTTCTTCTATAAAAAAAAACCTGCTTGTCAGCAATTTGTTTTTCCTAAAAAGGACATTTCCCTTCCACTTTAAGTACTGGCGGTTGTTTAGCCCTTCTGGATCACAGCTACTTTCACTTTAGTAATGGACCTACTGATTTGCCAGTACCTTTGTAGTTATTACCATGTTAAAGAGACACACTTATTTTAATTTAATTTTGAACAAGTCCATGTTTAGTGTTATACTTAGTGTTACAATAATGCTTTTTCTTTTCATGTGTGTTTTAAATCCCAAGGAAACCTTCCTTTTAAATGGAATCTTTCCTACCCCTCTCAAACATGCACTAGTCACCCCAATACCCAGCCATCCACAATTCTGCCCCCGGCTATATCTCTGACCTTGGCTCAAAATATCACCCTAACCGTCCACTCCGCTCTTCCCTAGACCTCCTGCTTTCCAGCTCCCTAGTCAACTCCTCCCATACTCACCTCCAGGACTTCTCTAGAGTCTCTCCCATCCTCTGGAACTCTTTACCCCAACCTGTCCGTCTATCTCCCACCTTGACTGTCTTTAGGTGTTCCCTAAAGACTCATCTCTTCAGGGAAGCCTATCCCACCTCAACCTAACCACTGAACCATCACGTTCTCAAACAATTCATCCCCACACAGCTACCTCCTCATGTATCATTTCCCCCTCCTCTTTCAGATTGTAAGCCCTCAGGGGCAGGGCCCTCTTTACCATCGTCTTGAATTGTATTGTAATGTCTTCCTTACATTGTAAAGCGCTGCGCAAACTGTTGGCGCTATATAAATACTATGTAATAATAATAATGCTGAAAACCCATTTAGAATGCATTAAAACAAGTGTGCAAAGTCTTGCAGTTTCATTTGTTTATAAGGCAGCTCCAGCTCCCCTGCCAGTAGAAAAGGACAGCTTTCCTCTGTGTGAGAGCAGTAGTCTCTCTGCAGATGTCCATCACATCCTCGGTCAGCAGGAAGTAAAAACTTTGCCGATAGCAGAGCCGTAGCTCGAACTCACATAGGGAAAAGTCGGGCTGCTGCAAAAAGGCAGCCTTTCTTACATAGAGCACAGTGGTCCATTTCTGCAAACTACTGTCTGTTGTAGATCTGGAACTGATTTATAAACAAAACAAATAGTAAAGGCTGCCATATACTTAGGGGGTTATTCACAAAGCTGCCAACAAAAATTGGGCGGAGCTAGCAGTGACAGCTATCTCCGCCCAACTGTTTCCTATTGGCCGGCACCTGCTAGAGTCTTCTAGCCAGTCCCAGCCAAGAAATAACAATTGGGCGGAGCCGGCCATGACGTCACAGCCGGCTCCGTCCAGTTGTTTAATGACAGAGCAGCGTCCCCAGGTCATTTGGGGTCGCTGATCTGTCATTACAACTGGGTAGACCCACCAGTCATTTGCGGGACGAAAGGCCAGCCTTTGGCAGGCCATTCGCCCGGCTTCAGGTGTCACACCGGCTCAGTCGAGCCAAAGCATATGCCTTCGGCTGCTGTATGGGCCATAGTGAATAGCCCATACAGCAGCCCGGCGGCCGAAGAATCAGCCGAAGCTACGGCTGGATCCTTCAGCTCCTACGTGAATAACCCCATTAGTTTCTTCCCCATTTAGCATTGCGGGCTGAACAAGAAAACACTCTGGAAGGGAATTCATCCACCCCCAACCCGCTGGGCTTTTGTATTCAGGCAGTGGTAGGCGCCCTACTTTCAGATTAACGGATGTCGGACGGGAGATTGCTAACAGGGCAAACCACCGAGTGAATTTCATCTGAAATCAGATGGATATCATTAGCTGCAGACAGGTAAGTTGATATTTCTAGGCATTACTACTGATGTTTTTGCTCTGGGTTTATTTCTCATTTAAAATCATATCCTACTTTTTATCTCATAAATGGGGAGAATTATTTAAAAGTATCCGAGACAAACTTTGGCTCAACTGGTGCTCAGCCAATCAGGTTTTACATTTTGATTTTCTAAGCTGTTTGGAAAAATGAAAGATAGAAGCTGACTGGTTGCGGTGGGAAACTGCAGCAATTGAGATAAAACTTTGTCTCAGACACTTTATTAAT